AATCAATAATGCCTACCTTATCATCGAGATCCACTTGTCCAATTATACCCAATTGTTCTTGTTCCTTTATTATGTTATATCGGTTAAGAATTGATTCATCTTGTAAGCGTTTGATGAGATTCTTCAAACGATTAAGATATAAACTGTAATTGTTGCTCAACTTACCCTTAATTTCTTTCCATGGCCAACGAACTCTATATCTTCCATTACATTTGATTACTGACTTCTTGAATTGTTTTAATGCCTCTTCATCATCATTAGCATTAGGTTGGTCATTGATTCCCATGAGTTCTAATTTCCAGAAAGTTTCTAATTCCGAGTAAGAATTTACATTGGCTACACAGACTGATCTGGATAGTTGTTTAGTATTCGCTCGGCAGAGTTTGTTGATGTCGCCACTTCCAACGATCATCGGTCCCACTTTTGTTTGTAACAGTAGGAATCCAGAATTTAGTTCTTGAATGTTGTTGAATTCCACAAATTTGAAGAAGTAATCTACTCCAGCTAATATGTCAGGTTGCTTCCAAAAACTCTTCAAGTTTTCAAGTTGTGTTCCTGTTGGTACACTAATTACTTGAAATTGTTTAGTCAAGTAGTCAGTCACGTTGGCACATATTTTTATAGTTTCCTCTTCCTTAGTTTGTATGCCAAGTTGTATTTGAGCAACAAGACAAGATTTGGGTTTTTTAGTTCCAAATGGAGCTATCTTGATTTCGTATTTTTCGGTTTCGATTAACCCTGATCGACTTGCTAGTTTCTTAGATATAAAAGATACTTGGGAACCTATATCGAATAACGCCAATGCCGTTTTTCTGTGATGTGGTATTGACGGATTAAAGATAGTTATCTTTTTACATAATAGTAAGGTTTTCATACCTTCCCTCTTCGTAACTGTATTTGTCTGCGACATAATTGTGTCTTGATTGGTTGAACAGTCCTTCCCATTATGCATTTCTTCCTTTATTGGGTTCTTGTTTGGATGTACTATTCTAACTGCCTGTGTCAAAAATTTATTGCGTAGAGCACTATTGTGGGAGCTTTACAGTAGAAACATCTTACTTTTCTGCTGCATTCTGTGGTCTGGTGAGTTGATTTCATGCAAATAGTGCATCTCTTCATTTCTTTGAGACGTTTTAGTCAAGAATCCACGACGCATATGTTTGACATTCATTGTCTAGTGGTTTCTACCACATGCACGGTCTTCTTTGTTTAGTTTCTTTATTTTTTATCGAGGAATGAGAATTCTCATCTCCATTGCGGATGGTCGCTAATGCAGAAGTTTCATTCTGATTTCTTGGATTCTCCTTCTTGTGTGAGGTGATTTTCTTTTCACAAGATGAGAACTGATTTCTTACTTGTTCATTCACGTTGATCAAGTTTCGGAGGAATTTTCTTAATTTCATTGTTGACCATGGGCTGTCGACCATTTTTTGATGACAAACTTTGTCGAGTATCCACCGAAGTAGTTTGCTCTCTATTACGTTTTCAATGCTGGGATGTTCTAGGTTCTCTCTTAGTGTTTCTAATTGCCGAAAAATTCTTTCCATTCTTTCAACAATTTCGATCCATTCCTTATCGTTTCGTTTGATTGACTGTAATTCATTGTACAGTAATTTGATTATTGTCGACGAGTCCCCGTATTTCCTGGCCAATATTTGGTGCACAATTTTGTAATTTTCTGGAGCAACATCAAAGCCTCTCACTGATTGTAGTGCTGCACCTTTTAAGCAGGAGATTAAATAATTCATTTTTTGTATTTATGGAATATCCTGGTTGTGTACAGCCGCATTGAACCCGCTCCAAAACTCTTTCCATTGTCGGGGTTCTCCATCAAAGGTGGGAAGGGATAGCTAAGGGAGATTGATGTTACGATAGGATGCTATTGGTGTTGACTCCATTATTGGTGGTTTAGAAGTTATTTGTTTGATTTCATTATTAATTTCCTCCTTATACATAGTTAACGTGATGATGGCATCCTTCGCTTCCTGCTTTAAGACGAAAACGTTTCGCTTTCCCTTAGCTATTTGTTCGTAGTTTTTCTCATCTTCCTTTTTTATTTTGGATTTTTGGGCCCATTCTATCCACTGCTTATTTAATGCCTCAATAAAGTTGATGCACATTTGTAGTCGAATTTTTCGTTTATGAGTCGGTCTTTGGTTTCGTTAATTTGGAGTCGCTCGTGATTTGGTAAGGCTGGGTCTTGCGATTGGATATCCATAGTTTTTACTTCATTCAGTTATCTTTTTAGACGGCCTTTAAAGGGTTTAATACTTTCGATAATGGTGAAAACCATTTTTCCTGCTCTACACTTCACCTCGGGCACCAAACTTTGTTGTGGAAAATTATTTTTTTTTTACCGAGTCGTTTAGATTTAGAAGGTTTAGCCTTGAGTTAGGATCAAGCAGAAATTTAATTAAAGGGTTACCTTGTAAGGACGCCGAATATACGTTGTGAGGATACAGAGTAAAAAATACTGCTTTATTGATATAATACAGAGCTAACCACTGGGATTACTGAAGAGTAGCGAGTAGGAAATCGCTCGACCGTGAGTCAACGCAATCGTAAGTAATAAACTATGGAAGAGGACCAGCCCCAAGTCGTTGTTTTGTTGCAAAGAGGATTTATATGTCTTAAGAAGTATGAGTGGTTCACATTAAACATTCAAGCACCAGAAACACTCCGGAAACGATACAAGCATTATAACAAGACTAGATAGGAAGATTAGCATGGGAAATTAGGTTCTAAGGAATGTAAATTAGTGAATGAATGCAGTGATGAATCATTAGAAATATTCTAAGCATTTAATGTATAATAAATTCTCTCGATTTTCCGACAGAGTTATCGTCTGTAGGCATATACTTCAAATTTATTTCAGTTTTCTTAATTTCATCTAGGCGATTTTGAATAAATTGTGGTTATTGCTTCGTTTCACTTTGTATCCAATTCAAGACGTACATTGAGTCGCTCAGAAATTTTTCAGCATTTTGCATTTCCAGCTGATTTACTACAAAATCCAGTCAGAGCCGCCAGAAGTTCACTTCTTGGAATCGTTATTCGTTTGATTAAACATAATCGGGTTTTTAGGAATAATAACATTAGAGCTTCCCCTCAACTTCGGATCTTAAATAGATGTTACGGCATACGCATGTTAGGAAGCGTCCGAAAACACATGGATCTGGTAAAGTTCCTCTTTTTAAATTTTCTCGGTAATTCAATAAATGCAGAATGTCAATCATCAATAATTCGTTTTCATTTTTTGAATTTTTCTAATACATCATCTCAATTGGGATTTTGCTGCCAAAGATTTTGGAGGAAAATCTTGATTGATAAAGTGATTGGATAAATCCAGTGGATCAAAGATGCAGTTCCTTGTAATATTGATCGTTCTGCTGCCTCCTGGATTAAGTTTGGGTCTGATGCTGATACTGATTTTGTTTGTTAGCATATCTCAGTGAATCCCCAATGTTTTTGTTAATTTTCTTCGTTGTCTATTAGCAGTCGGAAGAGATTCATTGCATTCCTTTGAATTGGAAATGAATTTGCGCATATTATTGTTGCCTTCTTGAAAATTTCTTTCACTTCTTTATAAGCGCTTATTGCTTCACTTCATTTCTTTTCTTTTTTTAAATATAGCATTATCTACGCACAGATTTCGTCAAACATCTCTTGCTATTGCTACAGATATTAATCTCAAATGACACTTGATTACTGCTGCACGTAGGAATAGCGATGAAATAACACTAAATGCAAATACCACTTGTCGGAATTTATAAATGATTAGATTCTCTTGTTTCACTGCAGCATTATATCTCGAAACCGCAGGAAATGAGTGACGCCATGGTCTATTTCATTTAGTGTCATTTGATGGGAGACTTTTTCAATATCGCAAAGGACTCCAAAATTCATTAAACGATTCCGTTTAATGAAATTAGTATTACTGATTCCCAGGATAATAGATTGTTGAAGCTTTTCGGTTGATGCTTTAGCTGAAGCATCAAAAATCATTCTTGCTTTAGTAGATTGTTTTCATGAGGTGGTTATCGCTTGATGAGAGAAATAATGAATTAATTCCTCAGGCTTCTTATTGTCCTTTACTTACTTTTTCGACGATTTGATTTTTTAGCTATTGTCATCGTACTGCTTCATTTGTTCAGGCTAAGCTCATAACATTTTAACTGTTGGTTGGAGTTTGCCTAAATAAGGTTCAAAGTTAGAGGCAGTTTATTTCGAGATTCTCCCATGGCACGCTGCACTGTATCTTTGCCCTTCTTTGCATATGCTCTGCTGAAACTACTACATTACTAATTCATCATTGTCTCCATTTAGTGACTCATTTACTCCCCATAATTTTAGTTTTTAGAACTAAGCAACATCAATGCAGTCCTTTGCTTTAATTAGAGTTGAACACGGGGTGGTTGAATTATTTTTTATATCCTTTAGAATATCGCTTCCAGCTCTAATTTAGCCAACTGATGTGTTGGTGAGCCGATATCCACTTGTTAGCTCCTAATCGCTGTTGGTTCAAATTCGAAGAAATAATCTACTGCGATTAATAGTTTTGGTTTCCCCTATTTTTTTATGAAGTCTCATCCAACTGATTCCCTTATTTTTTAGCAGTTTGTTCTCCTTGTGATTAAGCACATCAATTCGTTGCAGATGTGAGGTGAGGTGTCCCATTTATTTCACTTTCATGGATTTACACTTTCCATTTTCAATTGGATATTAAGCTACACCATTGCTGTTCGATGTTCTTTGACTCCCCTATCCCGCGATTCCTCTTGTCAGGATTTTTCAAACATCGAAAACACGCATGCAGTTCTCGAATTATGACAAACTTTGACCAACCATTCTGTACTCATTGCATTTATCATTTCAATAGTTTTTTGAACAAAAGACGTGAGGTTTTCAAAAGGACTTTTCGCAACAATAAATACAGCCGTAAGTTTGATAATTCTCGACTTGATTTCCTTATTTGGTTTGGCTATTTTTCTCGTATAAGTCTAACTCGATCTTCTCATTCTTGTTGTATTCGATTCACAAATTGTTTCTTCAGTTTTGTATAGACCATGAGTTGTCTTTTTCTCGATTTTGATAGGTCTCATGCAAAACCCATCGTAGCAATTTCCACTCAATTCCTGGATTCTCCAAATTTTCCTATATTTCCAGTTATCGCCGATTTTCTTCAACCGTGACAAAAATTGAGAGTCCTTTCTGTTTCTTTGGGTAATAGTACCTCAAACTTGGATAATTGAATCTTTATTACAACAAATTTATTAATGCAACAACAAACTTAGCAATTACGATATCGATACAACAAATTGATGACGAAACCACTAAAAACAAAGGCGTCGCCGATTTTCTTCAGTCATGACAAAAACTGAGGGTTCTTTCTGCCTCTTTAGTTGATAGTACCTCAAACTTGGGTAATTAAACCTTTTACTACGATAAATTTATTAATACAACAACGAACTTGCAAATATAACATTGATACAACAAAACAATAACGAATACACAAGAAGAAAAAAGACAAATCACGTCCGATACCTTATATCCAATTGACCTCAATGAAACACATTTGAAAAAATGGATTAGTGATCAGGATCCACCGCTTCTTTAACTGGGAGGGTCCTTGTACCGTTTTATGAGCACCCATTGGTGTTGGGTTCTTTGTTAGAGCAAATGTAAGGCGATATGAGCATATAAAGATGTCTGGCTTTCAAATAAAAGGGGGATTACTGTCCCTTTGTTTCTACTCACGATATCAGCGACAAAAGGTGACCAAATGACCTCGATATCGTATATCCAACCGACCTCGACGAAATACATTTTTCCAAATGATTTTGGTGCTCAGGACCCTCTTCTTCCTCGTATAGAGAGATCCTGGTATAGTCCGAGGTCTGTGATCACAATTACCGCCTTTACTAAAGCATATAGGCACAATGGACGCACAATATTAGCTTACATTGCACAGTATATCTACATATGCAATACATTTTACCAGCTGTATCGAAGCAATTATTGATTCACTGCTTCTCCTCGCGATTTCAACGACACCAGTTGTTGTAGAATTATGTCCAAGTTTTCCACAGTTAATGGGAGATCCTTGTTCTTTTCGGCTGTTGGAAACCTTTTTAATCCATAGTATAGCTCTGGTAGATTGCTCTTGGATCTCTTAATTCTTGTTTGAGTACATTCACTATTACTGGCTAATTTTCAGGAGTAATAGTATACCTAAAAATAGCTGCCATAGCTCCCATATCCCATAGCTCTTTCAGTCAAACACCCAATACAGAGGACAATTTTTGTATTGCATAGCAACTTGAAAATTTGCATAGAAGGCAGACAAGCCAAATTAGAGGTTTGCCAAAGAATTTTATCAATTCCAATTTAGGTACACAGCAAAACCGTTTCCATCTCTTTCTTTTCCGTCTCTAGTTGAACATATATTTGTTCTTCCCTTTTCTATTCAACCATTTCTGATTTATCTCCTCCAAAATATTTACAGCAGAACTGATGGACCAAATTGAATTTTGCAATCGGTAGAAGTTTTTCGTAAATCTTTTTTTTCGTCAGTAAACAGAATTTTAGAGGGCGCCGCAATTTCCCGTATTTCTCTCAGTAATCGCTGAGAAAACTCTTTGGTAGGTATCGCGGACTGAAGCAGAGATCCAAACATTTTTTTTCAGTTTTGGAATTTTCAAATTCACTTACCATAAATCCACGATTTACTTTTCTGGTTGAGTTTCCTGGTTCGTGGCATCACACAATGGAAAAAGTTTCACTTTTCTGGAAGCATTTTACGTTACGAGACACCAGAGTTATAAGATTTTCTTCATTTCCACCTTGTACTTGGTTAATTAAACCATAAGATGAAAGAAAGAATATTAATGTCGCATAACCATTAAAAATTACAAAACACAACGTAAAGATATGTTCCAAAACGTCGCCACAGGATAAACTCCGAGATGTCAATCTCGAGAACAAAAGCAAGGAGGAATGTTATCTTGCTGTGACCAAGGTTTATATATATTCTTCAAGGTCTTATTTTATGATTACTGGAATTAGTGTTTTTGTTAGCATATTTTGGTAAAGCGCTTTTTGCTAGACGCAAAAGTGAACAAAAAAAGTAGGAGGAAGGTAAGCTTGGACGAAAAAGTAGGGGGAAAGGTAAGCTTAATATAGCTTAATATATTCAATTCCAATTATTTATTCCAAATTTTTTATTCAGCTTATAGAAGTTGTTACATAGATAAAATCGAAAATAGCTAAGTAGGAGAAAGGTAAGCTTGGACGGTGGACGGTGAGAGCGAAGTCCTTATGTCGTAGGTTTAGTTAAAACTAAACTTTAGTTAAAAAATAAACCTACGACTCTTAGATGAGCGGTCTTACAGGGCTAAATAAGATCCATCTGCTCGGATTTGGAGCTAGAGCTGTCCCTTTTTTTCCTTACTTCTTTTAATAATAATGCATCAACCGTCTATTCACCACGTATTTGTTATATACCTCCAAAATCATTTATATTGTAATTTTAAAAGATTATATTGTAAGGTACAAATGGATTATTGGACTCGAAAGTGAATAGATAAATAATGAGAAAAGTAATGTAACATTCTAAGCAATATTTCGATTCTCGGACAACATTAATAATAAATTTCTTGTTATTTTAAAAATTTCCTATCACATCTGGTTTAATTTTAAAAGATGCAATTTAAATGAAAACAGAAATTTCTCAAAATTTGAATAAGACGTTGTATTAGAGCGATTCCAAATTGTTAATCAAAGGAACGCCATTGATATCTTGCTGCCAAGATAATTTGATTGATAACTGAAATCTTGAATTCATTCTGGCATGCACACATTTTAATCGCTGCATCTTAAAAAAGGCGTTAAAGTAGGTTATGATACATCGACCAAATTTCAAAACGTACAAATTTTGCTTCATGAAATAGAACAGTTATATATAAAAATTGGATGGCGTTGAATGACATGGTGTCGGCAGATGTAAAGATTTGTTGACAGCGTTCTGCTTCTCAAATATTGTTCCGAACATTTTCAACATTTCTTTTTTTAATCTAATTTTATTGACTGGTTTATCAAAAACTAAGTAGAAATGCTACGTGAAATCAGAAAATGTAGAGACTTGTTTGCAGCGTTCCGCTTCTCTCATGTTCGTGAAAAGAATCATCTGGTAAGTCTAATAATTTTGGGAGTTTATCTCCGATGATAAGTGACTGATAGCATTGATGGGCCATCGTTAATTCTGCATTTAATTTGGTAAGAGTTAAAAGTACAAGATATCCTGAACTCTTTCCTCGCCGTGATTCACCTCCGTTTCCTTTTAATCTCAGCAGCTTTTAAAGACCGCAGGCCTGTCCATCTTAGCCCAGAAAATAACCTAAAACACTAATTTTGTCAGGTCATCACCTATCGTTTCATGAAGTCACATCAACAGAAGCAATACATACAATAGCTTGTGCAAGAAAACATACATTATGAGACAAAACAATAAAAGATTCAAGAACTGACATTCATTTTTGAACGATTTTAAGAAATCATTCCGAAAAGATGACAAAACGTTGAAGTTGTATGCCACATATATATGATATGTTGTCAACTTCCTATACTAGGTGAAAATAGCACCGTGACACCTCTACCGGTCGAGTTGAACGAAGGTGAAAAAGCGCTCGGGGAAAAGATCACCGCAGCGATATAAGACGGCGAAAAAAAGACGGTGACAGAGCGAATGGACTTGCGATTAGAGCGCTAAGTGCCGATGGTGAAAAGATGGAAGGGTTTAGAACAAATGGACACATAATGGCCGGTGAAAGTACAGATGGTGATACAATACCTGGTGATAACGCATTGGGCGATAAGATGGACGGTGCCAGTGCAGCAGGACTTAGGATGCCAGGATTAAGGGAAAATGGTGACAGGATAAGCACAGCAAATGCTACTGGTGACAAAATCGCAGGACTGATTATACTTGGAGATAGGATCGTGGCGAGAAACGCACCTGGACTTAGTACAGCAAGACCAAGAACTGATGGAGAAAAAAGTGTTAGTGAAAACGCTGAAGGTGATAGGACGGATGGTGCTCCACCTGGGTTAAGAATATTGGTAGTGAAAGCTGAGGGAGCAAGTACGTTTTGCCGTTTCCGGCGTATTTTCAAGGAAGAATGGATCTTAGCCATTTTACGGATATCACTAAGGATATGACGATGCATATCATCTTCATTTAAAGACATGAAGAAATCCAACGCTTTGCTATTGTTTAGAGGTGATTGCGGGCCATAGAACATTATCAGCTGCTTTGGAGTCATCATCGAAAATCCGGTTGTATTGAAGTCCATTAACTGTAATACTTTATATTATTAAATGGAATGGTCAGGTATTTGCTCGAATTAAGAATGTTAGTAATTTCTGTCCTCTGCAACTCACCCTATTTCGGACAAGGCCTCGAGACTAGTAAAGTTCTCAATATGAAAATCATCTGAAAATTTTGGGTTTCGGTCCTTCCACTTTGGATTTCTTTCAGGAAGGCGTTGATGGATCATTGATAAATGTGTCATGAGGGAAGCAATCCAA